CGGTCTACGACATTGCGCCTTGTTGGTAGTTGCCAAATCGGAGTGAACGAGATCACAGGAAACGTTTGAATGACGCGGGTAGAGACCACATTGGAACGAGTACACGGAAAAAACAAGCAGAGTAGATGTCTCCTAGTTTGACGTTTGAGCACATGTGCTCTTCAGTTCCAACTTTTGGTGCCGTGTGACGAGTGAAATCAATACCTTTTGACAATTTTAAAACCAGATTTCAGCTGAACCAGCGTCAGAAATAATCCAGAAATGCGATTACTCTTACTGGTTAACATTTTTGACCAAATACCGTATGAATTAGAAAGAGTTCAAACTAACCTTGGCGTAACCCTTGGGCGTTAGGGTTTTTGGTAGATTTGGGTTGAACTCCATTCGGCCGGCCCCCTTTTTCGGCTCCAGTATCTTGACTGCATGGAGAAGTGCATGTGAGAGGATAAAGAGAACGGGTTCCAGTCTGTATCAATCAGTTGAGAATTGTGGCTGTTTAAAAAAGACTACTGGATGCATGAGACAAGCATCCAAACTACNATTATTTTCCTTTGTGTAGTTGTCGAGTGTTTTTCGCGAAAAAAATCACTTATTCGGTTAGGACTAGTTGTGGACTGGCTGAGTACGATTTGATTAATCATACTAGTCGAGCTGCATGCACTGATCATATGAATAACACGAGTATCGATGATCGATCGTCTACCATCTTTGACTTTACGCCAGGAGTACAGTGTTCGGTAGGTATAAGTGCCTAACCGTTCACCTCAAGACATGCAAAATAAGTGTATTTTTCATCCATATAAGCTGAATGCCAAATCGGTCAGCCTACGGATCTAGTAACCAAAGCTTCACTAAAATCAATAAGACACTAACCGATCTCATGTGTACACCTGAGAGATATGGCCTCGTAGGTCATCTGGTAGAGCGTGCTTTGCAAAAATAGTGGAGGCGGGGTTTACGCATGGGTTCAAACCCCATCGATGCTAGTGAATGTGCCACAAGTCAACATAAGACTTTGATCTGCCAAACGGCAAATGGAACGACCAAAAACAATATCTATGCCAGTATCCAGGATACCGTTTCTTCGTTTCAACAGCGAAGCATTGATTTATTGAATGATTGATCGATTGATTTCACCTCTCGATTTTTCTCCTTTCTTTCTTGCAGCCACAACTTGTATGTGTAGGCTGCACAAGCCGNNNAAGCCGAGATTCAGGTAACTCACGGCGGTGTCTGTACTCCAAAACAAGTGTACTTTTTTCAGGCCAGGAAAGAACACATGTAATCGGGTTCGTTATATAAAGGTCACCTTTGTTCTATTATCTTTGTTCATGTATCGTAGTGGCGCCCGGGAAAGGTAGATGGTGAAAGGTAGAATGAGCCTGCTTGGTTAATGGGACTTGATGTTTACTTGGCAAGTACATCCATGCCAAATAATGCTGACATCGAGCCGCCTGATTATGTTTTTTCATCGTTCTAAAGAATTCCGAGAGGGGTAGGGGTGGGTGGAGCTGATCATTTGACTGTCACATCTCAGTACACTCAAATCGCTCAGGTGGCACAGTAGCACTGAAGCATATGTTTACGGGCATGCCTTACGGGGATGGCTCCACTACTGTCTGCGCAAAAGTACTTCTTTTCTCTAATCGCCATATTTTGCTTTAGTTTGATCACATGACATTCAGCGATTAAGGTGACTGGTATGAGAACACAGGAACCGGAGCCCTTTAATTCCTGCACGGATGATAGATTTTGGTGAGTTTCACACATATGTTAGTTATTGATCAGTTTACTCAGAGGACCGAGGCAGAAATAAATTTGATCAACTAAAGAGTTTTTGTTTGTGAAAAAATTCATACCTACTGGGTGGTTCTTTTCTGCCTATACCAAAAACAAAGCAGACGAACAACTTGCATAATAAGCGTGCTCCCTTTTCAGCGTATACAAATGAACTGAACTGGTCTCGCACCATTTTCGAGAAGTAATTCAACCAAGCAATATGTTTGTACATTTCTGTGTGAGATCCCACGTCTATTTTACCGTACACAACTTGAGAGCGGCCAACAGAAGTAACAACAATACTATCTTCAGTTAATTAAGCTTACACTGCGTATTTGCGAATTCCACAGTCTGTCTCAACCGGTTCGGCGGTAGAAAAAACGATATTTGACATTTGTCTGAATATTTCCACTCAGACAAGGGTGCCTAGGACGGTGAGATTTGTATAGATTGCCCGTTCCTCTAATCGTAGCTATTCTTCGAGAATGCGGGACTGTACACAGGTGGGCTGATAGAAGCACTCGGCCAGTTTTCTCACTGGTCTCATTCCTCTATGTAAATTTTCCAATTCCTTATTTGCTCTCAATAGCTTTGTTCTTATGCAAAAAACTTAACTGTACGCATTGAAACGGACGTTCCAGGAAGATGAGTGTAGAATTCTTTGCAATTGCTTGTTCATGATCTTCACTATCTTAGTCAATACACATCTGTTGCTAAAACTGGATATGCAGGCCCCAATCTGGATAATTTGTAATCCAAACCATTTTAGATCACTGATAAATCAGTGGCTGATGTGCTGATATATCTTGCTGCACAAAGTTTTGTAGTCGAGGCAGAAACTGAGTGACCTCCAGTTGCATTTGGTTTCGATTTACAGAAAGTATACGACGACTGTGATTAGCTACGGTTCAGGAAATAAATTGAAAACTATCAATAATTATGTAGAAACTAATAATAATAGTGATAATAATAACAATCAACTCATTTCATTTGTTACCTAGGGAGTACAGTTCAGTCTTTTATGATGTTTTCTTACTTCTACTACCTGGTACTTGTTTGCTATTCTGTTAGTGTCATTTGTTCCATTTTACCTTTGGGCTCTTCCTCTGCAACGTGCTCCACTTTGTCCCACATCACGTCTCTCACACTGCTTATATTTAGGATTTTAGGATTTGTGACACAAGTATCACTTTGTCCAACCAACTTTCCCCTCGAGATCCAAAAGACGGTAGTGTTTCTATCATTCTAGTACACCGCAAAAAAAAATAGAATGGTTAATTTGTCTTTATAACAATCGTTCGATTTTAGAAAGGTAGGATGAATTATGTATCCGTAGTTCACAATAAGTAGTATATGAACGACTCCACAAAATGTCCCTGAAAGCACACGGCTTGATTCGTGGTTCTTGCCGCTCGACAGGCATGAGTATCCCGAAATCAGTACCAGTCTATTGATGAATCAATATCATCATTGAATGTTTTGTGGGTGGGTTAGGTGCTACTAACAGGTTCTGAAAGAGCTGTTCACACAAATTTATCCGGTGTTGCAAACGATTTTATTGTGATGAATATATATATCACCAGAAACCTTCCTACACATTGCAAGTGGAGAGCATTTTTTATTTCTGCAGTAACGCCCAATCTCATACAGCACCTGTTCAGTTAATTGTATCGTTTGATGCATCTTTTCGTTAGCAGTGTTCATTTAAAGTGTCCAACTTCACATGCGCTGCACTGATGTGTTTATTGCTACCAACTTGAGCAATTCTCAAAAAAAATGATTCACCTTTTGATGCTTCTTTAGAAAAAGAACAATCAATATGTGAACATACGACTAATTACGTGATTCGTGCCTATTACTGCACACGAATGATCAACGTGGATACTCATAACTTAGTTTCAACTTTTAGTGGTGAAAGGTAAGTTAACCTATGTGCGCATTCAATCATGTATGAATTTTAGGAACAGGCACAAGTGTAACGCTACCACTTGTGAGAAATTATGCCGAATAGAAGCTCGGAGTTAAACGGGTTTTTGCAAATCCAGATTACAAAAATGTTTGAAGTGCCATAGTTAGTAAGGCCTGCAAGACACTCAACTGTGAGTGTGTTTGTGGCTGGGTGTGCACCAGAAAAATAAAAAGGCTCATGCATAGATGCATCATACAACCAAAGATTGCCCGATTGTGAATTTACCTCTGGCAGAGGAGGCTTCATGAAATGAATCAAGGGCATGTAAGCGAGACTGGAAATGCGTAGCTTTTCCGTGCGTATTACGACTTCATCATCATACCTAGTATTGTGAAATCTAAGTTTCATACCGGGTATCATGAGATCATGATGATGTCGTTGAGTAGCAGTCATTGGAACGTGAAATACGAATTCGACGGACCTACTTTCCCCATATCTTTAAATCTTCTGACCAGAGGGTGAAGATTAGCAACCGACGCCAGTTATATTTGAGTGTGTTTGTATCTCTGTAAACCTTTTTAGTTCACGGTGTTTTGTTGCTGGTCTGTTGTGAATCCCCAACCAACCACGGAGGATCTGTCTGTTATTGATCCCTCGCAGTCCCGTCTACCACTGTCGTTTCACGAGCCCCAATATTTCCCCGAATTCACACTGCTCCGTGCGTTAGGGCTCACTCAACTTCATCTCGCTCATGAGTCAAGGAGATAAGCTGATGCATAGTTGTGTCAACTCTATCGTACTACGCGAACACAGAGAACTTTCGTATTGTCTATTCACTGAAGAGGAATGAGCCCCTCAAATACACGATGACATGGTTTAAACAGATGCCTTTCATGAAGTGTGTGTGGGGCTCCAAAAGATGTGCTCTAAACTATAAGGAAGTTCTGTCACCGGAACCGTGACTTCTAAGTTGCCCTGCCTCCGTCCGTGCTCATTGACTCCCCCCCCCCCTAATTAACTTAGTTACAATATCAGTCACGTTACATTCAGCCTCAAATAAATGACGACAATTCCAGAGGTCTATATATCACATGTCCCAAACGATAACATGATCTGGATAGGGTGAAGTTTCATGCCCATGTTGTTCTGTTTGAAGATCAATCCAAATGATTCACTGCAATGGTTCTCTTCAAGATAAACCCCCTTCAGTATTTTCCTCAATATTATACAGCGATGACAGTTTGCTTTTTGTAGGAGAACAACAAAATAAAGCCCCTTCGATCGAAAGGGGCTACTCCGGGGCTCAGAGTAACAGAAAAGGAAAACCATACATCGAGGTTTTGAAACAAACTGGAACTCAGTATCGGGGAATGTGGTCTAAACACGCCGGTTTTGATCACTTTCCCATTGGAACAAGTGAAGCTGGTCACCAACCATGCCAGAAACCATTTTTGTCATGTTTATTGAGTGAACCGGTTCTTTTATTCGAAACCAAGTCGGTTTCACACTAAAAAAACATTGGCAAATTAATCTACTATCGAATGTAACGTATACAATGTGATCCGAACTACTTATTGTGCAACACAGTAACACTAATTGCATGTATCCGGCTGAGAACAGTGATCGAGCACTTGGAAATTTGCTAATGTGTCCGGGTATCAGTGGTCTTCATGTCTCACTGGACCGCTGGGTTCATGGTGGATGCATTTCGCCTGTTTCTCAGCGTCTCAGTTACTTCTCTTGTGCTTGTCGAAGGGTCAAGCCTAAATATATTACAGAGCATGACGTGAGTCAGCCAATGAATCGATCTGATCCGGTGACTACATTGACACGTGAACACATGACCTCAATCACGTGAGTCGTTCATATGAATCGGCCCTTTATTCAGCGTACACAGCGGAATAAGGCTGACTAAGCGGCAATTTATCGTTCATTTTGCCCGAGAGTCGTGTTCATGTCTTACCTGACCTCGGGGTTCGTGGTGTTTCTATCGTCACTCTTTCACAGATTTTCATTTACCCTCCGCTACGGAAAACCTCATGTCCGCCAACGGTTTCAGCCAGCGCGGAGATTCAGCTCATTTTGAGCTGTTTGAAGCATTCCATCACAGGGGACATACGACTGAACACCATCGAGCTCAAGCGTATTACACTATACAGTCTGATAGACCGTCGAGCGTCTCATTTGAACTGTTACTCCTTAAATAAAACGCTGTTTAAATAAACATTAAATCAGTGACATTGCAGTCACGGTCATTTGAGGGTTAATTAAGTGTCAAATATCCTCCCTCGTTTTCTGATTAATTTATCTATTCTGATGATTAGAACGTTTCATTGAATGTGCAAAACAACTTTTGATCACGCGCGTTTGTTAGTAGTTTGGCGGTTACACTAATTTTATTGAGAGAAAATTGAGTACTGAAAACATTGTATGCATAAATAATCTATTCATTTTGTTTTGAACTACGCGCGCGAGCTCCAAAGCTAAACATTGTTTATTTTTACACATGACGACACACTCAGGCAGGATGTCGTTCTGCATGTTGTTCGAATTTCGATGAATCAGGGCCATTAACGATCACGAATCCTAATGAAAGCCTCCTTCCTGTGTGTGTGTGCTTGCGTGGTTCTACGGTCCTAGCCTTATTGCTTCTATGCCATTCACTTCATTGTACTAATTCCAGAGTCATTGAAAACGCACTCTCTTTGATGCATCGAATATTTGTTCACCGTACCTGAATGATCGAATATTACGAATGTGAATTTCAACACTGTTTGGTAAAAAGAAACAGGGTATCGTTTTTTTCTCAACTGAACCAAACGAACAGCGATGTGAAAATTGATTCAAGTAAAATGGGAACGGGAACAGCATTGATCAGATAAACTCACGGTAGTCATCGGCAGCTCCAGTACGACTCGTATTCACTACCCGACCGGTGTCCAAACTGCTCACATTTGGTCGAGAAATTGTACCGGATGACTTTTCATCGCGTTCGTATACCTGTGAAATAGTTGTGTTCGATAGGTACTATCAATCTCTTTTGAACTCCCATCCACCAAGTTATACTGCATGATCTTGACCATGCCAGGCTTCATACATAATGTTTAAAGAACTTCAGAATTATGATTAAAAAGCAACCAAGGGAGAAGGAACGAGACAGTATCACAATCAGGTTGAGTAGATAGATACCACTTACAATTGTAACTTTTCCCATGGTGAGTAGATCTGACGGGAGAGGTCAATTCAAGCAATGTCGATGCACTGGCTGCCCGTCGAGGACTTTCGATGAGATCTGGGGTGACGGCTCTATACGCGCGTGTAACGCACGATCGGTTGGAACAATTGTCTCAGTGAACTGACTCAAATGAAAATGTACGCCGGTTACGTGCGCACGTGTGCTACTGTGCAGGTGCGTGTATACCTTTATCTGTCTGTCTGTCTATCTATCTGTCTGTTTTAAGTGTGTGCGTCTACGACTGTGCCGATGCTTAAGGGCATTTGTGTGTGCATTTGTGTACTCCAAAAGTCCGATAATGGCAAATGCACACAGACAGACAAAGAGATACACTAACTATATATATATAGATGAACAGCTTTTCGAGCGGGCCATATAATACCAGAGACAAACGTCAATGGCACAAACGATCGAAAGGTGTGTGTGTCCATGTGAGAGAGAGAGAGTGAGAGAACACCCATCGCCGTTTTCCATTAGACGATGGGACCCCTCCCATCTTCGGTACATTTGTGTGTATGTTTGTGCGTAAGTGTGCGTGCATGATGGGAATAAGTACCGGGTAGAGGTGAAACGGTAGCCAATTGCTTGTCACCGATGTCTAAACTATAGCACATTTAATCACGGTGCATCGGTGTAATCGTTGCTTGATACCTTAAGTTGGATG